GAAGGGACCTCCCCCGGTCATGGACAGAGAGCCCCAGGGACCGTAAACCCACCTTGCTCCCCTCTGGGCCCCCAGAACACCAAGCTGGAGGCCGCGGTGACCCAGTCTGAGCAGCAGGGCGAGGCGGCCCTCACCGATGCCCGCTGCAAGTTGGCGGAGCTGGAGGCTGCCCTGCAGAAGGCCAAGCAGGACATGGCCTGCCTGCTCAAGGAGTACCAGGAGGTGATGAACTCCAAGCTGGGCCTGGACATCGAGATCGCCACCTATAGGCGCCTGCTGGAGGGCGAGGAGCACAGGTGGGTCCCCTTGCATGGACCGCCCACCTTGAATTCTCTCCTCTCAGTCTCAGTCCCAAAACGGGCCCCAGGCTAGACTCTGGGCTCTTTGCCTCCCAGATCTCGGGGGCCTGGAACCTGGACATGTCCCCTTATCATACAAGGCAGGTGCCACCACTACATCTAGAATAGCAGAGAGCCCCCAGGACCCAACGGAGTCAGAGCCCCGGCTCACTGCCTCTCAGCTCAGAAAATCCCCAAGTGGTCCTGTTCTCAACTCTGCCAAGATCTACGTCCTGTCTGGCTTCCAGGCCATCGCCTGCTCTAGGGCAGCGATGCTGGCCATGCTCTGACCCTGGCCTGGTCTCCCCAAGAGGGCCTTCCCCTTCTTAAAGCTGATCCTATCCAGGTTTGCCAGATAAGGTTGTTCAGGCTTATCTGCACAAAGGCAGCTGAGGGACAGTGAAGCTGAAATGTGGCCTATACTCTGCTTGCTAAATAGTGTGCCCCCGGCACTGCCCCAACTGCCAGAAATGCGCCTTTTTGTAAGTTGCACAAAAGCACAAATAAGAACTGGAAATAGCCCTGAGCTGACCCATTCCTGCACCAGGGGAGATGCAATATTCTCATTCTGACTTCTTCTCTCTTCTTTCTCCACTCAGGCTGTGTGAAGGTGTTGGTTCGGTGAATGTCTGTAAGTATCTTGAGCCTTGAAAAGGAAAGTTTTCAGTTGAGCGACAGGGACCTCCTGATTTTGCGGGTACGGAGACACTGGGAAGAGTGTTTCCAATAACTCCCCAGGAAACAGGAGTAGGTTGGTCCTGCAGCAGGAGACACTGAGGTTAGCTGGCAGGAAGAACCTCACAGTATGAAGGGGGTCAGGGGGAGGAGAGAATAATAAGACGTCACTGCAAGAAGGGACCTCAGATGTTGCCATGATGACCTACACCGTGTGGAGGTGAGAAAGCTGAGGTCCAAGGAGAGGAAGGGACATACCCAGGCCACAGAGCAGAACCAGCACCAGAGCCCGGGTCTCCTGGCTCGCGGCGGGTTGGGCTCCTGCCACACCTTCAGAACTGAGAACGGAAGGCTCCTAGGCCCTCTCCTGCCTGACTGACGAATCAGCCC